CCCCAAAACCCCAAAACCCCACTAGCTTTAAAATGATCCTTATAATGATTTAAAAAATAAATTATTCCATACAATAATATTTAACAATGTTTTTGACTTATGGTCTGATGTTAATTCTAATTAATAAAATAAGATACAGAAAATGGAACAGTCAACTAAAAATCTAAATGAGGAAGATACATCCAGACATACTAACTTAAATGAAAGGCCTCATAAAGTCATTATTGACTGTGATCCAGGTGCTGATGATGCTCATGCAATCGTATTGGCACATTATCTCTCAAAAGTGCATTAAGTAGAAATTCTGGGTATCACAACTGTAGGATGCAATCACACAATAGACTAAGTTACAATAAACACTCAGATTATTTTAGAGACTCTCAAAGTGAATGATATCAAAATATACAAGGGGTTTTAGAAAGATGACTTCAAGCATATAGATTACTACTTTGGAGTTGATGGATTTGGCAATTACGCAAATGAATATATAGAACAACATGGATCCTTAGAAGACAAACATTTTGATGGATCTGTGAATGCAACTTAATTCATTATAAACTCTGTCAAATAGTTCCCCTAGGAGATTACACTCCTCTCAATTGGAGGTCTAACTAACATTATGAGAATATATCAAGAGTATCCAGAGCTACCAGAAATGTTTAGAGAAATTGTTTTGATGGGAGGAAACATCAAAGGCTCAGGAAATGCCCCCAACTGGTGCTCTGAATTCAACTTTTACTAAGATGCTACTGCTGCCAAAAAGTTTTTCGAGGCATTCAAGAATGTAACGATGGTAGGATACGAACTCTGCTTTGAATTCTTCTAAAGTTTAAGCAAAGAGCAGCAAAGTTAAATTTTCGACTAAGATACAGACCTAGCTCGAATGGTCAAGGCTTCTTACAGGAATTCGTATAAAATTGAGAATGAAAGATATTGCATATATGATTAAATCGCTGTTGCTTGCGTTTTTGAGCCATCAATAGTTAAGAGTAGTATATACAAGCAATTAAAAGTTCTAGATGAAAGTGAGGCTGTAAGAGGTGCTGTTATCATTAACTGGCTTGACTAGCTTGTTACAGATGAAACTACTAAAGTGAAAATTATCACTGAAATTGATCGAACTTTAATGAGAGAGCTTCTAGAGGAAAGTTTGAAAGGCTATAATGAAGATATTTATAAGATTGCTTAACAGAAGAAATAAGAGAACAAAGTAGCACTCTAAACTTATCTAGAGGCTTTGGGTATTCCTAAATTCATCAAGCTCAGACCAAACTTTGAAACTTTGTGTCAAGTTGTAAATAAGCATGCACAGAACATTAAATACCAGAATCTTCACTTTCATTTGAGAGATAGGCCGGTATTATCTTTTGAATTTAAGGATATGGTTGAAAGAATGGTTGTCTAAAAGCTTGGGGGTCTATGCTATGAACATTGTCAACTCACTTATCATGTATTAAATGCTTTAGGATTTAACACAAAGCAACTATTAGCTTAAATTCTAAAGAATACTGAGCTTAGGTTTGATCCTAATGTATACTTTGAACATGGAATATAGATAGTAAACATTGATGGATAGCTTTATATCGTTGATGATGGCTTCGGTGCTTACAGCCCCAAATACCCACTACCTTTCAATCCAAAAGAATAGCTTTAGACTTATGAGTTCTCAGAGAAAGATAAATATTAGATTCTAAATAACGGAGATCATTTCGAGCTACAATATTATGAAGGAGATCATTGGAGAAGAGGTTTTGGATTTTCATATCCTTTTTAGTTTAAATCACCCTAAGAAATTTAGGAGAGATACGAGAATCATGTTGCAAGAAGCAAATTTTCAAACATACGTGATGGGTACATATTATTCGGCAAGATATCATAATAAATGAACACAGAATTAGCTTATATGCGAAGAGTTGAGCCATTTACAGCTTATATTAGATACACATCCAATGATGGTTATGAAAAGCAAATGATATAGAATTATCAGGATTTGATAGAGATTGTTAAGAGAGAATTCAATTTTGATTTACCTTCAAGAGAAGTGATTAGAGATAATTCAGACATTTAGCCAGAGTAATGATCTAAGTACTGATAGAAATTTATTTAGCTTTTGCCAAGATTTAAAGTAAAAATTATCAAACAAACACTATTTTGATAAAATTTGTTAAATTAAATCTTTCGCTTCAAAAATAAGCAGTTTTAAGATGGTGGGGTTTTGGGGTTTTGGGG